CATATATGTCTGACATGGCTCATGTAGAACTTCTTAGCGTCAGACATATATGTCTGACATGGCTCATGTAGAACTTCTTAGCGTCAGACATATTTGTCTGACATGGATCATGTAGAACTTCTTAGCGTCAGACGTATATGTCTGACATGGCTCATGTAGAACTTTTTAGCGTCAGACGTATATGTCTGACATGGCTCATGTAGAACTTCTTAGCGTCAGACATATATGTCTGACATGGCTCATGTAGAACTTCTTAGCGTCAGCCACATATGACTGATATGTCGATTAACGTGTTAAAAATACGGCCGCTCTTAACGTGAATAGTTTAATTAAATTCAACAAATATAACGTGTACCGAGTAAAGACCACTTTTCAACAATGACAAGCTCATATAAATCCTCTTTGTTGTACCTCTTAATTTACGCATTTTAATTTCCGTTCCCTTATGAAACCATCTAGGAAAATTTGTCAAATGCCTGCCAAAGCTGTAGTGGGGATCGCCGAGCAATTAGTGATCTTATTCCGCGAGCGGTAAAGTCCTTTCAATTATTTTTTCGCCGGGAATATTATATCTGTTTGATGATATACTTGTCGGTGAAATGGGCCATTATAAAAATATACTTATATGAAAATGTAAGGATCTTTTAAGCATCTTTCATTCAAATAACAATATTTTAGTCTAATATAAAATTCTTAATTTTATTTTTTTATTCGGAGACGATTATGGTAGAAGGTATTTTTTTGTTATCTTTCCTTCCTTTATCCATATTATAAACATACAATATTATTATGTATAAGTAACGCTACTAATGAGGTCATGTGGTTCTAGCATAGAATTGGCCACCCCTTTCTTTCCTGTGGGTGTTCTAAGAAGTGACTAAGGGAACTTAATAGCCGAGCCGAGGAATAGGTAGCAGCGTTCCTCTTAAAACATTACCAAAGGCTAATTTTAGTTGCCAACCCATTTGCCAAGCGTGGCAATTACTGACAAACCCATCAAGGGGAAGTCTATGTTCAGCAGTGTTACTTAGAATCTTGCTCTTATATTTTTCTTTACTTTTTTCTTGCTTTTTAAATTGAAAGCATTAGCATTAGTGTTAACTGTATTTATTTTCATACCTGCTCCACAATAGGACGGACAGAGAGAGCATGAAGTTACCTACATCACTTTTATCTCGTCTCGCTGATGAAACTGTACTATTCTGATTTATGTGTTTCAAGCCTTCTCCGGTACTTGCATCCTTTCATTTCGCAATGTATGTTAATATATTATATGTACATTGTTCTTCAATTTCCATTACCTACTTGTTCGTAATAATACTAGTCTAGCTGAATTTTTCCATGAATTTATTTTGATTTAAAACACTTTGATACGAGTAGCGAAAGAGGTTTGTTTGAATCGAAGCATTTGGCGTTCCATTGTTTCTGCCTACCCTAATGGGAGACAGGCGTGACAGATATGTATGTACGTATGTATGATACGAGTAGTTTATTTACAAAATTTTAAATCAAACAGTGCCTCGAAATTGGTTTCAAGCGAATTCAGAAACGATATTAAAGTATGTGTAATAAAATATTTTCACCAACTTTAAACTGATTTGGAAAATTCTTTAATAGAAAGGATTTATTAAATAGTCAATTACCTTTTTTTAAGAAATAAATTAATATAATAAGATTTTTATTGATTTAACTAAGAAATAGAGACTCGATTAAATAAAATAATAATACACTGAAAGTACTTAGTGGATGACAATGGAATGGTATCTTGGATGGCGTGGCACCAGTAAGTGGTGATAGGTGAGGATGAAACCATTTTAGTTAGCTCATTGTAATTAATTCAACTATAATTAATCATGTTGGTTTCCAAATGGAATCGTGTGGAGATTAACCTGACAATAATATGCCCTATATTGCTAGCAATGGAATTGACGCCCCTATGACAATTCCTCACTTCCAATTCCTCACACACAAAAGGGATTGTTAGTAATGGAGACTGAGAATCCCATTGTTAGCAATATACCCAACCAGGTCGACCTCCACGCGGTTCCCCCTGGAAACTATCATGGTTAATTCCTGATGAATTCATCATGATGGGCTAACTGGCCTGTTTTCATTCTCATCTATCACCCTTCACTGGCGCTTCGCCAGCGTATCCTGTTGGCGGGGTTACCATACCATTTTCACCCATCAAAAAAAAAAGCCAGAAGTTTTTTTAAGAGATGACAATGAAGTGGTAATCTGGCCTGCGCAGAAGGTGTACGCTGACGGGGCACCAGTGAGATCTACAAAACCTTTCCCTTCGTAAATCAGAAGTTGAAAAACGTAAAATTTTGTTTTTTTTTTTTTGTTTTTATAATGGACTTAGAATGGCAAACAAGCTGACGGTCCACCTGATGGAAAGTGGTAACCGTCGCCTATAGACATGAATATAACAGAGTATACTGTAATATTTTATGTATTTATTTATGTATGTATATATTTATTTAATATATTAGTGTGTCTAATTATATGTTTATAGTATATGAATATATCAAGTATTGCTTTATTTTTCCTCTATTAAAAAATGCACCGCCTACCTATTTCTCGGTTTGCCCAATAGTTGACTGGTAGAGAACACCGTCCGGTGTTAAGTCCGCCAAATGTACATAGATTTTTACTGTGCATTAAAGTTAAAAAAAAAAAATGTATATTAATAAAAATAGAAGAAGTTGTGTTTATTTCAATCTATTTGTTTAGGAATAAAACACACGGAGCATTAAATATGTTTTCATAAATATATCAAAAGTTGCATTTGTTTGTTTTCCTACCAGTTGCCGTCAGTTGAGTGGTAGTAAACAAACAAACATACGCAGGTTCGGGACTACCCTCGTTAAGGTGAATAAAATACAGAGCTGTTGTTATCTAGGGGTTGTTATGCATAAATTTCAAGTAAATAGACAAATTTAATAACAACAAACAGAAATAAAAAATAAGCATTTTTTATTATTATTTTTTAATGTAACGTAGAAAGGTAAAGCAAACGTTCACGGGGTAGATCACCAACGCGGTGGACTGACCTCATCAAAACGGCCACACAGCAGTCTATTGTGGAATGCTCTAGCTCGGCGGCGAAGATGTAGATGGAGACATATTGGGAGGACCTCAATCGCGAAGGAAAGCCTTATCGACGATCCACTGTCATTGTGAAAACCACGACCACTCTGTCAAGAGTGCACGACTGAAGAGAGAGAAAGGAACATAAGGTGACAGCCTATCTGATGGTAAGTGGTAACCGTCGCTTGTCATTTCTAAACAACATATACACTGTGGTAATCATGGTATCCCTTACAGGTTGACATTCTCCAGAATTAAAGTATTATGCCTTTGTATCCTGTAATTTTACTGGCATATTCCACCGTTCAAAAGGAAAAGACGTCATTCACTGAGACGCTGGAAAGATAAGCTAAAATAAACAGCAGGTCCATACTAGAGTAAGATGTACGGGACAGAAATGAGTAGAACTGGAAGGAGTTAGAGGAGGCCTTTACCATAAAGCATTCTATGCTACGCGATATATTGTAATAAAGAAATATAAGAAAGAATTTTAATTTAGAGCAAAATAAAGGACTCTTTATATATATATATATATATATATATATATATATATATATATATATATATATATATATATATATATATATATATATATATATATATATATATATATATATATATATATATATATATATATATATATATATATATATATATATATATATATATATATATATATATATATATATATATATATATATATATATATATATATATAGATACTATAATAGTGGTTAGTTTAACAACTTGTTAGCAAGAGAGGGCTTATCTCTAAAAGAGATCTCTTCCAGCCAACCCAGTGTAGTTAGAGAGAAAAACATAATTAGCAGGTAATCTAGTGCAGGAAAGGTACAGGTAAAAATAATGTAAATAAATTAATTAATTTTATATAATTAAAAAAAGACCTAGTTAATCAGGCAAACGTAGGTTTTCCCTCTAACATTTACCGGGTCCAATTTCCGACTTCTTATAGAAGGAGGATCTTAATTTTTTTTACGTTTGTTACCTCATAGCTCTATCACTTCTAAGCTGATTAGTCCCACAGAATTTTATGAAAATCATAAGTTAATTTTTTTTATTTAAAATAACTGATCAGGTTTCACTTAAAGTCGGTTTTTTTATAGGATATGTTACAATCAGGACTAAACAGGATAAAACCTGATAGGTTAAAGGAGAACCTTAATGTGTTACTATAATTGTCACATATTTTTCACCACATCTGCCCTTCATACGCTTTCTGTTTTTACCCAATGATCAGCTGGTAGAGAATGCCATATGGCATTAAGTTCGCCACTAGTACAAAGTTTTATTGTGCAATAAAGAATAAATAAATAAATAGAAGTCCTACTCATGGTGGCGTAAGAGTGAATAAACAATTAGTGAATTAATAGTAAGGATTTAAAGGAATCTATAAAACACATAGTTTTGTCAACTTGGTTATTTAGATAGTTAACGTTTTATACCGAAGATATTACATTTTTATACGCGATAGAAACTCAATCACGATCACTTATACACTTTTATTTGCGGGGTCACCAGTTATCGGAAATGAGTAAGTAAAAATATTCAACCAAATGTTTAAACGTCTATATATTTTAAAAGAATGACAATTTTCAAGTTCTTCTGCGCGCGCAGCCTCGCATGCGCTCTGTTATTCATTATTTATTTTTTTACAGAAATTTAAAAGATTTAGTTATATATAAAGGTTTGTTATATATAAAATATATCGTCATAGTCGTAGAATACTGACGGATCTGACAAATATTACATATAAAGATCCGTCAGTATTCTACGACTATGACGATATATATGCCACAAATGAATTAATAGTAAGGGTTTAGAGGAATCTGTAAAACACATAGTTTTGTCAACTTGTTTATTTAGATAGTCAACGTTTTATACCGACGATATTACATTTTTATACGCGATAGAAACTCAATCACGATGCCTTATACACTATATTATTGCAACTTATATTGTTTGATTTGAAGCATTATATTTCAATTTATTATATTTATATACAAAATATATAGTACAATATAAATAATATCTAGTTGTAATGTAGTTCCAACAAGTTTTTTTTTTATTAAATATATTTACATTTTGATGGGTGAAAATGGTATGGTAACCCGCCTGCGCTAACGGGATACGCTGGCGGAGCACCAGTGAAGGGTGATAGATGAGAATGAAAACAGGCCAGTTAGCCCATCATGATGAATTCATCGGGAATTAACCATGATAGTTTCCAGGGAGAACCGCGAGGAGGTCGACCTGGTTGGGTATATTGCTAGCAATGGATTCTCAGTCTCCATTACTAACAATCCCTTTTCCCTCAATATAAATATACATTCAATACAAGTGCACACGAGTCAAGTACATCTGATGTCTTTACTTAAATAATGAATTGTTTATTTTATGGTATTTTTATGGGACAATACATGATGTATGCATAAGAGTGTTTATACCTATGCTTACCGAAGTGTGTTGATGTTGGAATTATGTGTTAAATTTGCAAAATAAATCAACAATTTTCAATATTTTCGATTGATTCAAAAGAGCTGTGTTAGCAAGTTAAAATGTTAATTAAATAATCTATTATTGAAAATTTGGGTTGTGGCAACAAATATATTATTTGACAACTTTCGAAGCAAAATTTGGAGTAGGTGCAAAAATTTTTGTGATAGGTTTCATCATATACTCATATCAGGTATTAACTGTCCACTGCTAGACATACAACAAGCTTCCCTCATAAAGGGGGTTTTGCAAGTAGTTGTCATCCTTGGCAGATGGATTGGCAAGCGCAGTTTATCTTTGGTGATGTTTTAACAGGGACGCTACTACTTATATCTCGACTATTAGTTCTCTTAGTCGCCTAATACGACAGCCAAGGTAAGGGATGGGGTGGCCCATTCTATGTAAGGATCATGTTTTAAGGGAGACGCTGCTACCCATCCCTCGACAATTAGTTCTCTTAGTCACCTCTTACGACACCCACGGGAAGGAGTGGCCCATTCTATGCCGTGACCACAGGGCTAGTAATAGATTTGTACACATTTATTCTATAACTAGCAGCCTGTCCCAGCTTCGCACGGGTGGACATTTTTACATTTTAAAAAGTGGCCATTAAGGCTGCACACGCGACGGAAGCTTAAAAATGGAGTAAGTTCTCCTGTTTTCCCAACATTTCCCTTCACTGCTCTGCTCCTATTGATCGTAGCGTGATGAAAAGTATACTATAACCTACCCAGGAGTATGAAGAATAATATAGAGTACCAAGTTTCGTTAAAATCCGTCTAGTAGTTTTTGTTTCTATAACGAACATACAGACAGATAGATAAAAATTTTACTGACTGCATTTTTGTCATTAGTATCGATCACTAATCACAACCTGATAGTTATTTTGGAAATATATTTCATGTACAGAATTGAACTCTCTACAGATTTATTATAAGTATAGATTAAAATTTCAGCAATATTGAAAGTTGTACACATATTTTTTTTTTGTAACTGAATCATTCTTTAAGGAGAACAATAAAGAGTTTTCATTCATTTATTCATTCATTCACAATTCAAATGTAATTGAAAATTTACATAAAACACTAATTTCGTCACACTTCGGCAAGTTTCGGCTTGAATAATAATATTCTTTGATATACAATTAGATCAAGTACTTAATTTAGTTATAACATCCATTTAAACGTAACTATACGTGGTAATTGTATGTAAAAAATCAAATCTCTTAATTGCTAGATCTCTTGATTGCTAGTATGACATTGGAATGTTTAGAGATTTAGAGATTATTTTAGGAGATCTTTTCACTATGAATGGCAAGTGTTATGTCAAGTTTCTTTTGCTATTTCAAATATTTTAAATAGTATATTTTATTATCTATTATAAGGAATGTTTATGTTTGCAGTGATTGTACGAATCAGAGATTGTATAGTAAAAATTTACAAGCGCTTACCACTATTATTATCTAAAAATTCGACAGCAGCTTATGTGAACGATAAGATTCTTTGGTAACCTTTGGTAAATCTACTTTTCAGTTTTTTTATTAAGTAAATACGACAATAATATCAAAACAATACATAAAATTATCAAATCCGTTTAGTACAAATAAATCCATCAATATTGTATTGAAGAATATTCGTGAATTCTGAAATTGAACATTCAATGGTAATACATTATTGTATATTTTAATAGTACATTACTGCAGCGGCCAGCAACTGAGGCATTGATGGACGAACGTGCAAATATGGGCCGAGGCGTAGTCGAGGCACATATTTCCATCAATGTCTAGTTGTGGCCAAGGCTTTTCTATAGTACTTTTCTCAAACAATGCGCGGAAATCAAAAACACAATTTCACTTTTTAAGTTCAATGATGAGTAACGAACAATAATAATTTTTCACGCGCCATAATGTTTCTTTGTTTTTTTTCCATAAATAGCTTTCTATTTGCAAACCAGTTCGAAATTTAAATAAAGCCTTTTATTAGTTATCTCCTTGGTAGTCATGTTTTGAAGTAAAAGGTCATTCCATTTTTAAATTACAGGACAGATATGAGTTTTTAATAGTAGTATATTAATTTATCTGGCCGCAAAACACGACAGGTATGGATTTTCATAAAACTTTTGCCGGTCGCTGCTCACATGTATCTGGCCAGCACGGCAATTTTGATTTATCGCAAAAATTGTTAAAATAATACTCACATTTTCAAGCATGTTTGAGAAAAATATATATTCTTAGTAGGCATTAGTATTATTGGTATCGTTTTGAAACCTATATATTGGGTTCCTCAGATATTAATGTTGGAATAAAAGGTCATCCCTTACTTCGATATCATACATACTAGTCAGATACCTATATTCATTTCGATCGGGTTTTTCATTTTAATATTATGTATCAGATAACTGATAATTAATACACCCATTATTGAGCAATATATAGATATTGTATCTATATAATATATAACATAGATATTTATGTAACCATATTTACTATTTGTTTTGTGCTTTCAAATGAATATGAAGAAAGATGAAGTTTCGAAACCGGTAGCATGTATAAATAATAAAAATATTTTAACAAAGTACAAATATTTGAAATAAAATTATAAGGTTAATATAAGTGATATTTGAATGAGGATAGCCACAGTGATATTGGTAATAAAAAACGATGTAGGCTCAAGCTACCCTCAAAATATTCCGTATGCGGCAGCGGATGGCAAGAAAATAAGTTTCACCAAGATAATGCGTTTTATAGGATCACTTGCAACCGTGACCCATTCGAATTTCACAAATAAAACTATGATTTTACTTAAATATAGAATAGAAAAGAAATCATCAGTGATACATATAACTAAAACTGTACTAATGCTACGAAACATATTCATACAAAAGTTCATGAATCCAAAATCGCTCCCATATAGAATTAAAAGCTGAAGCCCTAAGTTTAATTTTTTTATCAATATCCGACTCATGTTCTTTCATTGAAATTTTTGAAAAATGTTTGCATAAATGTTGAATTACGTTGATAGAATATTCCTTTTAAAGGATTTTGATGATTTGTATATCATTCTATACACATGAAGTGTAGTTGACTAAAATTGTGACTTGACTCTTTACACATTGAAAATATAAACACTGCTTGCTTATATACATTTGTAAATGTACATGATAAAGTACACGAAACAAATAAAATATGTAACATTTGAAACAAGTAGGAAGACGAGGAAGCTTATTATCTACAAATCTTGAATCAATTTGAATCCCTTTTAATCTTTGCAAAAAGAGAAATCGATTGAAAGCAAGATTTAAAGGAATACAGAAAATTGAAATATCAAAGCACCTTATTATTATAAATATTAATGGATTCTAAACATCTTTAGAATAAAATACAGTCCGAAGATTTCTTTACAAGGGTAAATTCAAATTATATTTATTGCTAGGAAATATGGCACGTAACATAAAATTTGCACTTACTTATAACATGTACATAATTTATTCACTTCTCTTAAATATATTATTTACAAAAATATATTCACTAGTTGTCTTTCATCATGGCTGGACAATTTACATTACAAATAGCAATAGGAATATTATAATACACGATCACGCTTACGAAAAAGCTAAATTTGCGGTATTAAGCGTAATCTTAAAAATTGTTGCATACGTGGTTTCATTAAATAAAATTACAACATCATGTTAAGTATAATAACAATTAGAGAAGATACAAGATCGTTCAATAATAAATCACAATTCTGAGAAAAGAACATTGTACATTATTAAAACTGTTACACAATTGATTAAAACTTAGATGAATTAAATGACGAAAAAGCAAAGTTAGAAAGTAATAGCCAATTTATTAACTTAATTATAAGTGAAGGGGTTCATTTTATCATTCCTATTCTAAGCGAATGTTTTATGTAATTACCACGCTTGCATCAAATATAGATTAGTGATCACAAGGTTGAGCTATGCTCCAAAACTGTACAACATTTTTTAATTCTTTCTACGATTCAAATTTTTAATTGTCGTTTTGATTAAAGATCCGAAAATTAGATCCGATCCGATTTTTAGATTTTTTTTCTTTATATGGGTTAATTCGACTAATATTAGATTTTTTTTCAAATGTACTATTTTTGTATCCTGATGAAAGTTGCTAATTTTAAAATATTATAAAAAAAATTATTTAATTTAAAAATGTTTAGTTATTATTTCGGTAAAATTTTCAAATCTTTGACTTATTCCTTGTAGTAATTTGGCAGTGAAATTGTTTAGGTTTCCACAATGTCATTTATTTACACACGTTTTATAAATTAAATTAACTTTGCTATCGCTTAAATTAACTACGCCGCCTCTTTGATATACAAGACTAATAAAACAAATGAAAGTTCTAAAGTGATCCCAGATAAAGGTAACAAGTTCTCGGAACAAACTAGCGAGCTATGAATAGTATTATTCAAGTTTGCCTTATTTCTCATTCACAACTTTCGTTCGTCAATATTACATTCAAAGGAAGTTACATTTTGATATGCATTTTCAAAACTATAAACTTTACATATTATACCACAAATATAGTGTAACAATACATTGTTAAATATCTATGAATCACAGTAAAGACTAGCATTTATAAATACAAAACTAATCTATTAAATATTTGGAAACTACCTGTATATAATTTTTTTACATCAATACCTATATCCTTAAGATAATCTTCATCAATTGTCTTCGTAATATCAACATTACCATTTCTAAAATTAAAAAAATTATATTCAGGTATAACTTTCAGAAATAAGTCAATGGAAATATTAGTACAGTCTTTAAAATTATGTACAGATTAAACAGTGACTTCTTCTGTAAAACGACTTTTATCGTCTAAGTTAATAACGATTGCGTGAGTTCTTGCATGACCAGATCTAACACCTCTCATAGTTTCTGTGCTACCTGGACTAGACTTGAGTTCACTTGGTTTGTCACTTTTATTATTAAAACTATTCTGTCTGGCCACTTCTGGTGGTCGAATATCACTACAATTTGCTTCACCGGATATTTTAAATACACCATTTTGTTTTTCATCTTTGTTTTCTTCATTGAGATCTGTCCTTCGTTTTGGAGAATCAGTTGTCACATCTGTTTGACTTTGCTCTGTATTACTCGCTTCTACACTTTTGCTTGGACTGAAAGTCTTATGTCTATAGGCTGGGGGAGCTTCAAAAGGCAAATCTCTCCCACTACTGCTGGACTCTTCAGCTGGTGTTACAGTACACATCAGCCGATCAGCGACTGCACTAAAAACTGTATTCAGTTTGAGAGGGGCCGAGTGATCAGAAGCTGGTGGTTTACGGTCATGCAAGGCTGCTGCATCTTGCATAGCTGTGATACGACGAGCAACGACTGCATACGTCCCGCATCGTTCACGTAATTTTTCTAGCTGGTTACATATTTTTCTGAACTCCTCCTTTAGAAAGAATTGATAATTGATATATTAATATTATTTATTACCTTTCAAGTATTCCTATCTTTTAATGAGATTCTACGTTTTAAATGTAAATTGTAAAAAATATTTAAAATGATTTATTAAGTCGTTTGTTCTGAATATTACAGAGTACTAATTGAGTTTAAATTTATAACGATAAACATATTTAACTTCAAACTTATTATAACTCTTAGTTTATTATAAATTCTTACCTCTAGCTCCCTTTCTGTCATATTGTCACAGAACCGTGTGCTTCTATTAGTCGTCATGGTGTATGTTGACTCTGCTGGTCTGGATCTAAATTTTCCTGTTTTTTCACGATCGTCTTTGCCATGCCCTTTGTATACCATGTATGCCTAAAAAAATTTTATTATTTTAATATTGCTTTAAAAGACCATAATGAAATAGCGTAGTATATCTAAGACTTAAACAATGATATTTAAAATTTCAATGTGTTGATAATATTTCTAATTATCACTATTTTTGTATTTCTGAATGCAATAAAGATTTTAATGTGAAGCTGACTTTACTGGGAGATGTTAATGTAGCCACAATAACGGTACTATTCTAAATTATTTACCATCGACTTATATGGAAATATTCTGTACATCTAGATCCATATAACGCAGTTGGTAGCATCTGGGGACTTGGTGCTAGCCTGGCTTTACGACGGTCATACTGCTTTCAGGTTTGCTACATTTTGTGTTTTGATTACATTGTAAAAGTGAAATGTTGGTACTTAATACTTCATTCTTTATAATAATAATATATAAGGTGAATAGAATTGTCAAAGATAGTATGTAGCCTTTGTCATTTGCTAATAATGTGGCTTATTAAAATGAAATAATTTTTAAAATTGGTCAAGTGGTTTTTAAATTTATCCATTATAAATAAACAAACGTGTAGTCCCGGCATAGAATAGGCTACCAGTTCCCTTCCCGTGGGTGTCGTAAGAGGTAACTAAGGGAGTTTAATTATTAAAATAATTTAAGCCTCCCCCTTGGGGGATTTTACCAGTAGTTGTCACGCTTGACAGGAAGATTGGCAATCGTAGTTAGGATTTGGAGATGTTTTAAGATGGATGCTGCTGCCTATTCCTCGCTTTCCTTTAGTCGCCTCTTACAACCACGGGAAAAGAAGGGGTGGTCTATTCTATGCCGGTGCTACATGGCCAACGGTCATTTGTTTATGATAGATAAACTCAGAAATTACTTAACCGACTATAAAAAAATCCACCTATAGAAAGCTACGTTATCATATCATATCATATATATATATATATATATATATATATATATTTGACTTGATAGACTATAAATAAAATACAATTAACTGTAATCTCAAATCTTAGGCATTAATATACGTCGCTCAGTGAGAAGGACAAATGATTAATACTAAAAATAATAGTAAAATTTTATGAGCGATAAAATGACAAGACTTTGAATACAAATCTATTTGTAATCATGTTGTAATCAATGTTGTAACAATTTTGGAGATTTAAGATTCATAACAGAAAGTACAATAGTGGATTATTGGAAGACTATTATTGGAAAACGGCCCTAAATATCCGTCATTAGGCCACTACCCAAATATGAAAATACGTACGATAATCACTTAGGTAATTTCGGTTCGGTACCACAGACCTATAACATTATTTTAGTTTATGAAGTTGCGGGTACGTCTAACCTAATAGTGTAATGGGAGTTTATGTAAATTGAAATTACTCTTGTTTAGTATTTGGCTTGTTATATATAATGCATAACTACTAATAGATTAATATGGGGGAAAAGGAATTGTTAGCAATGGAGTTTGACAGCCCAATTGTTAGCAATATCAGCCCTATCAGGTCGATATCCTCCACGTGGTTCCCCCTGGAAACCATCGTGAACAATACTTGTTGAATTCGTCACGATGGGCTAACTGATCTGCTTTATCCTCACCTATCATCCTTCACTGGTGCCCCGTCGGTGTATACCGACAGCGCGGGTGGGGTTACCATACCATTATCACCCATAAAAAAAAGAAATTAATATTGTTTTATATATATATTATAATCTGGATAGTACCATCATCATTATGCCTTTAACTGTCCACTGCTGAACATAGGCTTCTCCCTGGGGGGGTGGGGGGGTTTGGCAGTCTTAAGGGGCGTTGCTACGCTTAGTAGGAGGGTTGGTAACCGTAGTTAAGTTTTCGGTGATGTTTTAAAACAGATTGCTACTATCAGCTAGAATAATTCTTACTAATATTATCAAATCTAAGTCAACATACTATTGTATTGTCTTTTAAAATCCTTATTGCACATAATTTGCATTCGACACATTAAAAGATATAATACAATGACAGACTTATTGTATAGAGGGATCTCTTACAGTCTATCTTTGAGAAGCTGAATGAAAAAAGAAAGAAAAATGTTTACCTAAAAATATAATGATAAAAGGAACAATTACCTTACTCCCAAATATGAAGCAAAGCAGTAAAGTCACAGTGAGTTGTGTGTGACAGAAGAAAATTATATACAAGAGATCTGGATTCGCTGGCGATTGTAGAAACAGCCTGAAAAGGAAACAGCGGTTAGAAAATTCGAAGCGTAGGTACATGTTTCAAATTGAACTCCATTCAATAAGATCATACAATGGATTTGTTTTACAAAGGTTCAATTCTGCAGGTCTATTTTGAAAGTTTGTTATTTATTACTTTAATCAGTGATTGAAAGATACTATTTGTTTGGTAAAAGTAGAGTTGAAAGCATTGTTACTATGTGCAGGATAAAAGCAAATTCAATACTGGTTTAGTCTAAACTGGGTATGGATAATGTTCGTGCTTCTCCGATATGTGTATATTGGCTACCTTTAAACATTTATAGTAGAGAAATAGGTCATCACCTATTTCGACATCGTTACATTAGTCAATATACATTTCAATTGAGTTCTTTATTTCGGTATTATATATTGGATAATCAATATTTGATATATCCATTATTAGACTAATATATAGACATTGGAAAGATATACATATGACTATTTATTTACACATACCTACATAGTATAAACTATAAATTTTATACACCAATGGATAATAAAGTTTTTAGTTTAAAGCGAAAAATGTATATTTTTTTATTTTATAATAACTATACTTGACAGCTGAACACGTTAATCAATTGATGATCCCATCGTTTATTGGTAAAATAAAAATAATAAAATAAAATTCTTAGCTTTCTTTGTTAATAAAGACATCACAATGCAATAAAGATGATGGCAGTTCGACTCATGTTCTCAGGGTCGACCAAAGGCAAAAATTTATGGCGAGAGTATCAGGTGATTTAGATTATGAAGCATAAACACGCGCTGTGTTAGTACCAGGAGGTTTCAAAAATTTCCTTCTCTTTTTCAAGATTTTAATCAGACGATGCATGGCTGTGTATAGAAGATATTATAAAAAAAATGCAATAAAATCCAATGTTTTTTTTTTATAATTTTTATTTATCTGTCCTCCGCTTATTCTAATATAACACAAAAACAATTATACAAATTTGTTTATTGTATATTGTGTATATATATATATATATACATATGACGTCTTGTGTCAAATTCAAAAGTGAACAACTAGGTTCAATTAATTCCATTAAAGTCCAGCAAAAAATTGTTATGTCTAGCAAATTATTGTTAAATAATGCATGTACTTGATTTATAATTGTATCATATATTGTACGCTTATATAGCCGGATATGGAGATACTATCTAACCGAAGGTATTCCACCTTAATCTGACCTATGCTCCACAATAAAGACATTTGTATTTGTAAAAATAAAAACGCTGGATAATTCTATTTACATCGTTTACAATAAAATCCACGTTCTCTCCAGACGTTGAACAATGCAACCTCTATTGGCTCGCTTTGTCGTGAGAGTCAATTAATTTGTTTTCCCTCTGAAGTTAATGCTCTTTCCGATTAAATTCTCTGTAGATAATAAGATCATGTTTTCCTATAAGCCTGTATAGGATTTATCGTTCATTGTGATCATTCGGCATCTGGCCTATTCAGAAAAAAAAGCAATTTTGTATTATAATTATATCAACAGAACCCAATAAATCTGTTTCTTTATTGATAATATTGTAGTAGATATAAAAGGCGAGATTCGAATTAATATATTTGCCCAAAATCTGAGTGCATTGTAGAAAATTATAGAATGGATAGTAAATCCTTTTTCATAAAGCCTTGGATGTTAGTAAAACAGTTTATTATATATTATCGAAAAAGTGTTTTTGGATTGAAAGAATTTTTATTTTCTATCCTTACGCATAGTAGATATAAGAATAATAGTATACTGCTACTATACTATATTATTATATTTTGAATTTTATGTTACAACTAACTTTTGTCTGTAGTTTCGCTCGAGTATTGAGGTATAGTATTCGATTCTTTGTTCTATAAAATATCACGTGTCTAACTTCTAAACTGATGAAATTTTATATGAACCCCCATTTTAAAACGGAGAAAGATTTTTCTAAGGAATAGTTTTTAAAACACCTTACTTATTGTTTATATGGACTATATAAAGAATTTATTATAGATTTGGATGTTTCGGCTATACATTGATATATGGTAACCCATATATGGCAGTCATTCAGCATCCTCTCTTATATGTAAATTTAAGTTTATCTTATAACAATATTAAACTATGGAATTATAAATTATATAATATTAAATATTATAAACTTTTATGTTATCTTCTTTAATTTTTTTTTTTATTTAAAAAAAAAGACTTCTTTAAATGAACATAATTATTATACTTGATTTGTTTATACCATTGAGGTATTAAATTTCATATATATATATATATATATATATATATATATATATATATATATATATATATATATATATATATATATGTCTATAATTATGATAAATGGTTATTTTATGGACCTTTGCAATATCAAAATTTTTAAACAAAGAAAATGGATAAAAGAAAACTTTTATGATATTTTTAGAACCGCATTCTAATAATATCGAATGGTTCATCCATTTACTTTCAGATATGGCAGACATGATACGTACTTAAGTATCGCCTCTACCGTAATAAAAAATCATATTTCTACACCATAAAATCCCAAAATACAAAAAAGATACCATGAAATTGTTTCCGAAATTTCTCAGCTAAACGAAATAATATTTTTACATGAACGGACATGATATTTTATGTTATATTCGGGCTTATGACGAATAAAGAATCAATTTCAATCAATGGGACTGATATAGATACGAAAGTGTTTATACGTATATCAGTTCGGGTTCGTATCTTCAGAATAAATTTGGTTTTATGGTAGACCCAGTGATTGAGGCGAATGACGTCATTTGTTTCAAACATGAGACAAATGACGTCATATTTATATTTTATTCATATTTACAATTCATAGTACCTATAATGTTTAATGTCGTAAAATTGTACTAATAAATTTTTATTTATCTATTTATTTTAGATCTATTTCTGTTAATAAGTATTCTTAAAAACTATGAACATGTTTTATGAAAATATTTTTTTTTTATAAATGAACTAAATATTATTTTGCGAAAGTTCATATCACTGGTTAGTTGATTAGAATTATTTTGTTTAATTCCGCTACCATTAGTATGCGTGTGACTGCCAACATTTGAGATTTGACTACTATTGTTATTACCAGAAATTCTTTTCCTATTAGTAGTCAATCTCTGACCGTTATTTAGTCTACGCACATATTGCAATACGCGTTTTATTTATAAACGAAGCCTCTTCAGGCAAATTGAGATTGCTGCTCGAAGTTAAATCAAATGTTAACAGTCGCACGCATACTAATGGTAGCGGAATTAAACAAAATAATTTTAATCAACTAAACTTTTTTTGTTATGAAAATCGCAGAGTAATGTATAAACTCTATGGTACTATGCATGCGTTGCCATTCTTGAGAATTAAATAAAAACTTGTGTCTCTCTACCGTGTAATTTCACTACTATAACCCACCCTTAGATTATATAGATAAAGCATTGAGCTTCAAAAACGGGTCAATTCTTTATGAGCTAATTGTCAAATTAGTTGAATTGTTTTTTTTATCAGTGTTCTATTTACAATGTAACTTGATGTATTATTTAATAAATAAAATGAGTGTTTACGCATTAAAATGATACAGACGTTATAAGACAAAATAAATATAGATGTTACAAAGGAATCACTCATAACTATTTATCACGCAAAATTGTATGAGAAAGTTGACCCCTTTTTTATGGAGAAACTTTATCTATATAATCTAAGAACAAACCGAGGCATAGCCTTGCAAACACGGCTGTTTCACGGTAGACAAACACTTGTTTGGTCAAAGTACACTTCCAGGCGACTTTTGTATAAATCCTCCTTCTGGTAAAATATTACACAGTTTACTATTTCTAAATATACAGTTACATCTTAAATATTGTCAAAGGGGCTTAAAATATGGGGTTGTACTTCAACGCCGCGCCGCATAGTTTCAAAAGAGCGTTCACAAAATTCAAGTTCATAAGTTGAGACTAGCATTCCTTAGCCGCGTTGAAAAGTTGTCTCGGGCGGAACTGGGAAAATGCGAGCGAGTTCTAGCAACTACTGTACGCTTCAGTGACGTAAAACTAAAATATTATATACCAGCTATTTCCCGCTACTTTTAGAACTGTTATGTATATGTATTATTTCTCAGTTTATAGCTGGTTTTGTAGAGATAAGAACGGGTTTGTTAGCAAAACACTTGTTCTCATATTTTATTTTATTCCGTGGGAATGTTAGCAGTGGGACTATTTTTAATATTATTTACTAATGGAGCATGCGTCTAATACTTTTGATTCCTGGAGTTTAATGAAGAATGTTATTAAGATGTAGTTTATTTAATGAATTGTGTAGAATTTTTGGGATAACACCGATACAACTTAGAATAGCAAACAAGCTGACAGCCCACCTGATGGAAAATCGTAACCGTCTCCTATAGACATGAGCAGTACCATGGACATAACAGAGTATACTGTTTCGCCCATGATACCCCCAATGCGTTGCCATTCCTGAGAACTCAGGTGTTATTCCTCTGTACCCTGTAAATTCACGCCATATACCACCCTTCAAACCGAAACACAATCATTCAAACACAACTGCTTCACGGTAGAATCACGAATGGGACAGAGTTACCCAAGCAATTGACTTTTGACCAAAGCCTCCCTCTGGTTATATCAGGATTTGCCAACACGAGTTAGTAAATGTATGGATTTTATATAATAATTAAATTGTGTTGCACAAAAAGGCTGCCTGCGCTAACGGTATACGCTGGCGGGGCACCAGTGAGGGATGATAGGTGGATAATGAAAAAACAGGTCAGTTAACCCCTCGTGATGAATACACCTGGAACTCAGCACGACGGTTTCCAGGGGGAACCGCGTGGAGGTCGACCTGACAGGGTATATTGCTGGCAATAGGACTGGTAGCCCGCATTACTAACAAACCCTTCCACCCAGTGTTGCTTTAGTAGATAGATAGATAGATACTCTTTATTGTTTCCTCCAAA